AAAGGTATTATTTATGAAATAAAGATATTATTTATGAAATAAAGGTATTATAAATTAGAAATAAAGGTATGATGTTCTGTGTCGTCAGTGTCAATCCAGAGGAGACTGAAGAAGGAGAAGAAGGCGAAGAGGAAGCTGCAGGAGGCGTTAGACTTTGAGTCGAGGAGGAGAGAGCAGGTGGAGAGAGCGCTCAAACACTCCGACTCCCTCACAGGTAAACACATACAGCTCTTCCTCTTCCTCCTCCTCATTTCACTCAGTGTGTGTGTAGACAGTATTTCTTTAGATGTGGAGAGTGGAAGGAGAATAAAAGGGCTGGACTCTGAGGAAGCTAACGTTCATTAGCAGCCGTTAGCTGAAGATGTATTGAGTTTGTTGTTTTTCAGATGCAGTGATTGATGACAGCGAAGTGACAGAGAACAAAGAGCGGGAAAACTCTGCAGCCCAAGGTAACAACAGCAGACATATTTATCCGGTATTTATATATTAAACTACAGAGAGCTAACGTTATGTCACACTGCGTACGGGTGATCAATATGTTTTCTATCACTGAATATTGATCGATCAATTGATTGGAGATAGCGGTGAGTCGTTGTTACAGTGACTGACTGTAAATAGTGTGTGTGTGTGTGTGTGTGAAATTGAATCAGGAATCAATCAGAAAGCACGCAGCAAAACACACACACACCCACACACACACACAGTGTTTACAGTGTGTGATAATAAGATTCATCAATCAGAGCTGACGTGTCGGTTTGTTGTTTCCACCTGTTGGACAGTTTGTCTTGTGCGACCGTGGTAACCGATGGTTACAACCACAATAGTATAATTCAGTTTTAAACCGTTCAGATCTTCTCTGAGGAAGCTGAAATACTCATAATAATATTATTAATAATGATCATTATAATTATAATATTAATAATGATAATAATAATAATAGCATTAATAATAATATTATTATTAATAATGATCATTATAATTATAATATAAGACACAAATGGTGATTATATCTGATATGTTATAAACTGCATTTATATTGTATTTGTCCCAATTTACTGTACCTTTGTATCTAGCTGCTCTGCTAAATGCTAACATAGTGTTAGCTCTATTGTTATTTAAAAGTAAAACACTGTAATGTGGATGTAACCATAGAAACCGGAGCGGTGTGTGTAACTCTCCGTCTGTTCCTGCAGAAAACCGACCGTTCATCAAACCTCCGCTGCTCTTCTGAGAGCGGATCTGTCCTCAGAGGAAGAGGAGGAAGAGGAGGAGGAGGAGGAAGGGGAAGAGGAGGAGGAAGAGGAGGAGCTATAGCGGACACAAACAGACGATGGGCGAATAAAAAACAAAAGAGGAACTAAATACTCAAAATCCCATCAGCCACCTCTTCCTGCTTCCTGTTTTTAATGATCTCTTATTATTATTATTATTTTTATTCTTCTTATTATTATTGTTATTATTATTATTAGAGAGAACAGGCTGAAGTGGGAGGGGTTTAAATGTTACATGACCACCTGTGATGTCATCAGAAGCCCGTAGGGGGCGGAGTTTGTTTTTTACTGCTGTAAAACTTTATTAATGTTGTAGTCCAGGTGCTGTTAGTGCTCAGTTAGTAGTAGAAGTACTTTTACTCTTCCTTTGTTTGATTCTCGCTGTAACAAGTTACCTTAACGAGCTCTGATCTTAACAAGCTCTGATCTTAAAGGGACATTTCACCCGTGGAAACATTAATATTTATTGAAAGTGGGTTATATATGTAGTCGAAATGTAACATAAATTT